CCATTTTTACTGACTAGCAACACAAAGCAAAAGAAACACTGTTTTTACCATAAGAAAAAAAGACATTTTTTATACTATTAATAGAAATCAGGCTTCTGAAATCGCAGAATATTTTAAAGACAATTATTTTGATCTAACTTGTAGATGTGAAATTTAAGTCAGCCTTGCGGACAGTGTGGTTATTTGTTTGTGTTTCGTTTGTAGCTTTGCGTGCGCGTAATCAAAAGCTGATACTTCCACAGACAAAAGGTACTTGGCTGACCAGTTCAACACAACAGGTACTTCTTGGTTATAATTGTAATCTATGCTGCGTATTTCTTATGATATGCGGCAACGTGGTATTAAGCCTCAGATATCACTCTGCCATTTCATAGGTATTACACATAATGTGAAGATTCTGTGCAGGTGTCGGAAACATATCTGACGCCGGCCCGCACTGGTACGGCTTTGGACTCTGAACCTTCGATCTTCCTGTTCTTAACAACTGATTGACAATGAGTGAGCAGTATATCGCGCGATTCTTACAATTCAAAATATGTCTCTACCTTCTTCATAGGTATTACGCATAATGTGAAGATCCTGTGCAGGTGTCGGACACACCTTTAACGCCGGCCTGCACTGGTACGGCTTTGGACTCTGAACCTTCGATCTTCCTGTTCTTAACAACTGATTGACAATGAATGAGCAGTACATCGCGCGATTCTTACAATTCAAAATATGTCTCTACCTTCTTTTGCCCCCCTCCCCCCCCTCGTTCCCCTTCCCCCCCCCCCGTTTTTTCGTTTCCCACAAAGAAGATATCCCCTCCCAGAGGTATCTGTGCTGACTAACTAAGATGTTTCACCCATACGAAAACCATTATTGAGCAGTATTTGTTCCAGTTTACTTTCGGCACTACTTTGGCATTTACTTGAATTCTCATGATAGTTGGATTTTATTGCATTTATATTTGTGGTATATGGGGGCGCTCGATTATTCATGTCTTTTTTAGTGGATAGCAGCGAGAATCGGCGCAAAAACAGCGATGTTTCTAAGGGCCAAGGAAATCCCTGTGTTTATTTAGCGAAACGAGTACAGTTATTGCATTCCTAGTTTAACGGTATCTCACAGCATTATGCAGGATCCACTGTGACTTACAGATTTATCTTGTTCCCGTTTCGAAGTACTCTGTACAACTGCGAATTAAACTCATTCTTGTGTCCCGCATTTCGTGGTTCCTTCTCTAAGCGTTAAGGCAGCAATCTGTTCATCAAAACCTGCAGTTGTTAGCAAAAAACAGGTACAATTTGGTTCTCAGAATTCAGGCGCCTAATTGCGTTCACTAATGCTGCCTTGTAAACGAGCGTTCGTGTTCTCATGGACTTGAAGTCGATGAAAATTGCGCTCGTTCTGTCAGGTATGATTTAAAAAAAACGAAACCCAGCGCGGGCTTTCCTTTTCGGAGCGAGCCAGGGTACATACAGGAAACTGTAAATCAAGTAGTAAATTCCTCCTACAACGGTCAGTACTATACCACCAATCAATACAATGGTAAACGTGGAAATGGTAGGGGTCATGCAGTGCCGAATGGCGCCGCCCTGAGGGCCTGGCGAAATAGCCAATGGAGGCGGCAGCGGTGCCTCCTTCACCCTTCTCACCTTTTTGCTCTTTTGAACTTCCTCGTCACTTTTTTTAGTTTGTTTCTTGGACTGCTCGATAGACCTCTGCCTCATTTGCTTTCTAGCTCTTGAGCGAGCTGCCCTCGATAGCGGCGACTCGGGTCCTAAATCAATTGTTTCCTCTAGGCTTTGTTTCCGATTCATCGTTCTAGATCCCTCTGCAGCTAGTAAAGCATGCGTGAACTAAAACACTGTTTTACTTTTGTCCGACTTCCTTTGTGAGGCATGAACCTAACGTGATTCTGGCCTGAGCTTACGGCTGCTACGCTACCAAGTCCCCATTTTGGGGCTCACCAATCCTGTCAAATCGCAGATACAGGCCAAGAAATAAGAACGGAACCGGACTAACAGTCGTCGGTGTATTCGCACCGCACCGAAGTTGCGGACGTCTTATGACGAACTATCCGAATTTGAAGAATACACGGTTCTCGCAGTGTTTGATAAATAAGATCAGGAAAGAAATGTTTGTTCCAGCAAAAGCAGAACAGTGCGGCTAGGAAACAATATTTCAAAAGCAGAATTTGCGACGAAACGTGGAGCTGTCGGCTAATTGAAAATACAGTATTCACCAATATTTTCTTGCAGCAGCTGCCTGTATCTTTAACCACCTCCGGCGATGGAGCGTTGCGTCGTCGTCAAGGTTGCGTCAGTAGTTTCATAACAGCAAACGACTGAATAATATCCTCTACAATCGACGAATACTAGATTTCAAAAATGGCGCGCATAGGCTTGTTTCGTATTTGGTCTGCGCAGACATATAACGGGGATCAGCCGCGACATTAGGTGAGCTTGGTCTGTTTATATATCAAAAACGTTAGGTGACGCGAGAATCAAGCAGTCGCTTAGTAGATGTTGTTAGAAACTTGTTAACATTCACTGTCCGGGACATACGCTTCAATTCTAGAAAGACTAGCTATTTGTCGTACTGGGATAGGACAAATTCAACAAATTCAGATTGAGCAGGATAAAAACGATGTAAAGAAAAATGCATAGTCTGCTTTAGCTGTCGCAGTAGTAGAAGACGCCTTTGAGATACAAAATGGCGATGGCTTCGTAGCCGTACCCAAGAAATTCAGATTTGGGCGTCTAAATTTCGAGAACCGCCATTATAGTACAATTTACAGGAAGTTACCTATTGGTACCATTTTCTATGCACTGACTCAGTCTCGAATTAAACAAAAAATAATTTGATGAACGGTTTTGTTAAGCAGGGAAGTCCAATTGGAAATATTCACTATTGGCAGCTGACGATTTCCGCTGACGAACGTGAACTTATCTGGGTAAGACCCGGGTACTTGCAGTACTTTCGGAACGAAAAAGTATCCAATATACGAGGTGGTATTTAAGGGTCAGATCTCGGTTCATCTGTCGCAAGAGACTGACCCCAAATCAACCTCGTGTTATCTGTCGCTAGGAGAAACTGAATCTGAAAGTGAAAGTTGTGGCGGTACTACATGAATACAGATATCATGTACTGGCCGAGGTGCATTGGGTGTCATCTCAACGGTTTAGGAGGATGAGACGATGCAAACCATCTAGAAACCGATCGGCCAATTTAGAACTAACCCATTAAAAAAAATTACCATGAAATACCCTTCAACAACAACGTCAAATGAGTTTCCTCGAAAAATTCCATTCACATTAGCCCAACGTCGTCCTGTTAACTTAGCACGTAGTTAACAGCCAGTGGCACTGATCGTCGCAGAAAAAAATTTTTCTAGCAGTGTTTCTGAAGAAGGATCATAAAAAATCAATGTCAGCCAATACGTAAGGATGCCATTGTTCGTTGTCGAGTATTTTACTAGGTTTGTTTTTGTAGCGTCAAATATTCATTAATACCTCTTCTTCGTGATACTGCCATTATGTTATGTTTGAAAGTACACGTAATTGATTTATTTTATGTCCTATATATGTATTCATAAATTCATCATCAAGATAAGTAGTGTCCAATAGTATTTAAACCTCAACCAAACATTCGTCTAATCGATGGAAGTCCCTGGGTCGTAAGGCATGGTGTAGCCAATAGGGTCCAGTCAACGTTGTTTGTTACAATTATATCAGTGACAATGTTGAATATACGATTATTTTATTATTATTTAATTTAACGCAGAAGTGAATTTTAAGCTCTTAAGATCTGTGTTCAGTCACGTACAAAATAGAACACGAGGCCACGTGACGAGTTGGCTGCAGTGATAGGCACCCGAGTTCTATGAGTTTTCACTGACTCGTTTAGCAGGGAGAGCCCGCTCGCGACGTTACCTTTCAAAGAGGGACGGACGAAAGCTTCATGTTTGCGACGAAAAATTCAGTTAGAGCTACTTCTTTGTTGTGTCGTAGTCTGCTTATTTGCACATATCTTCAAGCCACGTTCGAAACCGTTAGGAAGTAATCTACATTAGGGCACACACAGGCACCTACGTATTAACCGTAAACACGGCGAAGTAGTGGTTCTGTAAAAGGTTAACGTTAATTGTAGTCATCCAAGTGTAACTTGCGAACTTAGCAATGCTGGCTGATGAACTTTACGATATCTTATTTGACCTAACTCACAAAACTTATCTGCCCATTGTAAAGCGTTCTTCCAACAACTACTTCAGTGTCTATAGAAATATATAGTACTTCGGTGTCGTACCTCTTGCATAAAATTACGCGGAGAATGTGTTGTACAGAACAGCTATATAGTACTAAGCAAAAATTTGCAAGTATATTAATTATACTTATTTTATGAATTAACGCACTCTGAATGATGTAGAATGAAAAACAACTTTCCTGAAGAAGGTGGTGAATCCACATTAGAGAGAAAGAACGGACTTTAGAATTGTCCCTATAAACCTAAATCTGTCGGGCCACATCCTTTTTTAATATATTACATATCTGTCAAAACCTACATAATGGCACTTGACGTTGCAAAGATACTCGTATAGAAGAAGCTCTTAATATATCAAAAACATTATAAAGATGAAAAACATGAGACTACCGTAGTTCTTAAACGTGTTTAATAAAACGAAGTTTTGGAAACGAGTTCATAGAATTTTCGACTATACGTTCCATGATGGTATTCTGTTCATAAAATTCCTAGAGAGCCGAGAGAGAAAATAATTATGAGCAACGTTTTTTTTTTTATATTAGTATAGTCTATAGCAATATTTACTCAAATACTGTACTACTCGCTATAATAATAATAATAATAATAATGCAAGAGAAAAATTATATAGATGAAGAATGAAATAAGAACCAATATCGGATTGCCAAGTTTTCGAAGGCTGGGTTTATCTTAAGAAGATATCTCTGTGATGACTAGTCACATCCAGTAACAAAAATCCAACGTTTGCCTATAATAAAAAAAAAAAAAACTTGAAGACCGTTTGAAAAAGTACGCGCTACGACATGTAATTGTCTCGGCATTTATTACAGACAACAAATAGAACAAACCGCAAGGTTACTACGGATCTGATTTATGCAGAAAAGTGCCGTCAGTGTTCTTTAAGATAATGTGGGTGTCGCCATTACTACTATATGTTATTATAACAAAAAACCTTGAGGACGATACTTGGGGAAGCTTAACGCAATAATGTGCAGGTTATCAACGAAATACATGTAATGGAAAAGGAAAACATCTTAGTTCCTAATAGAAGAGTTTACCTTTAGCAGGTCCGTGATACTTTAAACGGTTTATTACTTAGATAAGTAGTAAATCGTTTGAAATTTAAACAAGAGACGTATGGTTTAAAGCTACGCTAACAGTTCTATGCAGTAGCATCGATACACCTATCACTGTAAACTGGCTTATGATCCAAATGTTATTTCTACCTAACCTAAGTATGTGGGATATTTTTTCTTGCCACGTTAAAGTAGACTGCTGTTGACAATCTAATTGCCCCTTCGTTGTTTCACGGGAAGCATCAAGTCGTCAAGTCCATAAACAATACAAAATAGTCATTTTGTAGAATATTTCAGCTGGGGCAATTGAACTCCACCATCATTGTTTCTGGAAGACTCCGAAACACTGCCATGTTACTTTGACGAACGGTTTATGGCAGTTTGCGCAATACTGAAGGCTTGAGTGCGCATCTTCACCGGCAAGCTAACGACAACAGAGACGTATGGTGGACTCACGACGCAGAAATTCTTACCGGGTCAAAATGGATGAGAATTTTTTCACCAGGGAAAAGACGTTGGACGCTTAGTATTTCTTCAACTGCCTTGCTTGTTTCGATAAATGTTGAAGAAGGATAGCAGGACAAACTAGAATTCAGCATGTGTACAATTCTGCCTTCAAACTCAAAGTTGAATTTATTTTGAGTTGAAAGTTAACAAGAACGTCTGTTAAAAAAAACATCGTTTTCTCTAAAGTGCTAAAAGCTAATCGACTATATAAGGTTTCTGTTTCCAATACATGTCATGTGTATCGTAGATGAATCAGTTAGAACGTCCATAGGTGTTCAAAAGTGCATAAAACTTGCTGACCATCCTATGCCATTGACAACAGTTAAAATACTGCCACTAATGGACTCTTATGTTCACTAGGTATGGTTCTCGTTCATATTAGTTTATTTATCCTCTTTAGAGTTATTGATAGTGTGGATAATCACTCCATTGGTACTGCATCTTTTCACGATTTCGAGGTCGAACAGCTGCCACAGGGCATATCGAAAATCACTGAACCGCTTATCGTGCCACAATTTAACGTATTGTGTTTTTACACAGATTTCTTCAGGCCGTTAATATTAGGGACGTATCAGGAACATGCTTATTTTTGGCTAACAGAGATGTACTCCGGCTCCCTTTCCTTCGGCCGCAAGCATCGACGATAGAAACGACGAATAGGTGGCCTTTGCTGTCACGTCGCCTTTACAAGCTGGGTTCGTCCTGGTTGTTCTTACAGTAAACGTTCTACCATCGATCTCGGACGGGCCCTGTACTGCAATCTCGGTAACGTGATAATCCGCCATGTTAGGATCCGAAATCAAACATGCTTGGGTCTTGTCGAAGCCAAGATTGTGTGCTGCCACTGCAGCCGCGGCCATTGTGTTGACATTATTTGGCGCTATATGGCACACATCGCGTACGGGACCCTCGTATAGGACGATTGGCCGAGTCGAAACATTATCGTTTTTCGCTCGCATGGACGATCCCTCGGCCAATCGTAGGGCGCTTGGGTGCTTCCGCATGGTTATAGTCAATCCCTGCAGAGTACCGCGGTCGGCCATTTTACGTATATCCTCCAGACCCCACATCGCTCCTGAAGGAACGTACAGTCCGTGTGGTTTGCGAGCCGAACGACGAAGTTTCAGTTCGGTTTCGGGGTCAGCAAGTGCCGTGGGTGACCCGATCATGTAATCGCAATGCTTAAGGAAATGCTCGCCATAAGCTTTAGAGATAGTCGGATGAGCCACTTCAACAACTAGGTCAGGTCGTCTCGTGTAAAAATACGTTAGGTCCTCGAGAAGAACGGAGCGATCAAGACGCTTCGTGGCAGGATTAAATGTTCCTGAACGAGTCCACACAAAGGCGAGCTCATACTCCGCAGGACGCGCAAGGATCTCGTCGACAAGGAACTCCCCGAGGTGGCCGTAGCCCACTATACCGATTCGGCGTTTGTAATTCATAATTGCTATCGTTGTTGGGGAGGGCGGGAGTTGACGAAAGTTACTTGTTGTCACCTTACCTATAGCTTCACTTCGCTAAAGCTATAGAATAATGGAATTGCTGTTAATTGTTTTTGCTGTCAACTTCTCGCTGTGTTGCTATGTTGTTCGTTACTATCGTAATATACTCCAGCCGGTGTCGCTCTGTAGCCGGCTTGACTTCAACTAATCCATTAGGACGCCGATTGCACTTATCCGCAAGCACACCACTCGATCGCACCGTGCCGTCGACCGGGACCTACACACATACATTTAGACACAGACAACGAGACATGACCAGGCATACAGTAGTAATAGGGCCTTAAGAAACGACAACGGGCCGACGCTGCTATTTGCTGCCGCCCTACGTTGGCCTGCGAGTGGCGACAAGCATCGGGCGCGCGATAATTCCCGACTCCCTCTCCCTCCGGGGCGACACCTGCTCAAGGGAAAGATGTCGCTAACCGATGTACACGAATTCACTAGGTGGCGCCACACCGTTCGTACACCTTGTGGAGTGAAGCGGCACTAAACTACAAGGAAGAAGCTATGCGTTACTTTTCTAATTTTCCTCTACTGGTTCGACCAGATGTGTGTATTCCCAGTAATATTTTCCATACGTTACAACACCATATTCCCAATTATGCCTTCGTGTGTTTGTGTTGATAGTGGTTTCTGGCATTTGTAGTAACGATCGGCCCTCTAACGACACCAGATACGTAGAGCGTCATATTCTTTCTTATTCGTGCAACGCAACGCATCGCAGGCAGTAGCACATGCAACAGGAAGAGAGAGCGGTTAGTGTGGATGGTCAGTCGTCCGCCGCCGCGAGAATCGAAGTCACGACCGAGGCATCGTCAACAGCTCATGCGGCGGGACCTCACCATGCCTCGATTTGGCCGACTAGATGGAGGCACAGTTTGCCGAAGTGGACGACGAGATACGCAGAAGTTCCAGCCTTCGGCATCAGCAGTAGCGACATCTTTTTGTCTTGAGCACGATCGACTGTATTTATCTACGTCTTTGTCCCTGTTGTATAGCTGTTGTTTATGAGTGAGTACTTCTGTGCATTCGTATATAGTTGGCTCAATGTCTACTGTTGAAGTGCAACGCCTGCTGTAACGTTTGCATGTCTCCATTCTTTTGTCCATAGACGTTGGCATGTCTTTATGTGCCTGTCATGACGTATCCATCGGTTTGGCTTAAAACGTTACTGCGTTAGCTGATGAGTGGATGGCTGACATTCGGCCGACAATGCCAATTCGGTTTTTGACGCTTGGTCTGTGTGGGACACGCCGACCAAAATATTGTTGACTGGCAAATTCAACCAGCTCAAGGTCATAAACGAGGTGCAGCACCAACAAGTATCACTACTATTAGATGATACTAACCATTAGCTCTCGCAGATGCAACTAAATCGACATTATATATACGGACAGACAGTGGCCCTCCGTAAGAAGATAACTGAGAAAAGAGGAATCCAAGTGAAACTGCGTACTTCTGACAGTACCGCGGCCATAACTAATCGACCTATAATACGGCGTACGCTCATATCATTCCAGTTTAGTGGACAGTAAAATGCTACCGGAACCACTTTAATGGTAAATGACGATACTGCTCCTATGGTTGGTAGTGATCAAATTTGGCTGATTGAGATCGCCACGCTATCGAGGCTACACACTGCATAAAAACAGCGCTTGTCAGTGGTATTACTTCGGCTATTTATTGTTGATGAAGAGTTCAATAATACTGTTCGTTTATCCTAATATGTTTGGCCGTTTTAAGCAAAAATGAAAGCAAATATTTTTTACGTTTTATAATATCTCGATCGATCATCTTCTGTCGTTTTTCAGTACACACCATAATCATATCACCCTAGAACCTTATGGATTTTGAGCGAAAGACTGCGACAATTTGTGTATTTCTCTGTTGAAACAAAATCATCTCTAATAAGAGATTCCAGCTTTGCTGAGATCCAATGAAATGGTGATTCAAGTGTGCGAGACCCGGGCCATACGACGGGTGTATCGAAATTTCTTTTAGTTTACGCCAGGCAGCTAAAGGCGGATGTATCGTGGCATGGTCATGGTGGAAGTCGGTATCTTTCTTATCCACCTGTTTCGGTCGATTTTCAATCATTTGTCATCAGTTAAATGTCAACGGTAGAGGTTTGAATCAGCCGTTCTTCCAGGCCACAACAGTTCAGTGTGCCTGATTTCGTTCGAGTCCCACCAAACAGCTTGTTTGGCGCCAGTCTAGATTTTGTTACCTACCACGAAGTGTATTTTTTTTAATAACTCATCGGACTGTGACATGCAAGCCCGAAGTGCTGATTAAATAAGAGTGGACTATCAACATTGGCTGACTTGCGACGATAGCTACAACAGAGCATCTAATAAACGAAGTATGCCTAATTAAACGATACACTCGTCTAGAGGTAAACATTTGTTTTCTTAGAGCTTAAGCAAGCGCTTATTTTTCTACTTTCTAATGGTCATACTTTCCATAGGTCATACTAACCATTTCGGTAATTTTTTAGAAAAAATACTCTGTTATTTTTCGAAGACTATTTATTTTTCGCTAGCAGTACTCAATTCTAGCTATAGCTATCGTTCCTCAACATTTTTGTTGCTGTAAGCTTATTAAATCGAGCCCATTGCTGATTTTTGGCCACTACAAGCATTGGTAGTCCAATAACAAGCAATTAGCACATGCATTAACGCCTAGCGCCGCCATCATCACAAATGGTAGCTCAGCTTGTTAAATTATTTCCGATCGCAGTTCTGATATATTAAATGCAATATACTGAAGGACTTCCCCGCGTGGCTCTGGTCGCATGATGCACAGGTTTATCGGTAGAGCCGTGTACCTCCGTTCCGCTATCGTGCCATCATTAATCTTGGCGGCAGTGATTCGGCGGCCAAATACCGTCGAAGGCTGACTCCATCTAGTGTACCCCCTAATACCCCCAATCGTTTTTCCCGTTATCGACCAAGGCAGTCGATGGTAATTACCATCAATGGATTACTACGCAAACGTGACACAACTTCTAGTTCACCGTAGATCTCTTTGCGGGTCCTTCCTCTTGGATTGGCTTTCAAGTACGGAAACTTTGAAGATGGCCATCAACTTCTATAGACATCAAAAATGTAGTCGTAATTGCCATGTCATTAACAATCATCTTTATGCATATCCATCGTACATAGTTTCATAAAACTAAAGCAGACTACTACTCAATGAAATATAATATATATATATATATATGGACATGGAAATATACACATGGACAGTGGAATATATATATTCCATTGATGTGTACTAGCGTAGTTCAACAATGTTTCTAAAAGCTAGTGCGTTCACATTAAGAAACCCTGTTTTTTGTAACGGACTCCTAATACCAGGCAAAAGCAAGTTCTCTCCAACGAAAAATAATAAACTGGTCATGGCGAACGATACCGCGTTTCGAAATTTGAGTAAACGTTATATATTTTGTTGGCACTGGGCACGAAAAATTTTAACGCGTCGCTTCTTTACGTTTGTGTGTCGTACGGCTTTCAATTAAGCAGGCGTTCTTCATGTGGAAAATGAAATACCGCCCAAAGTATCACAAATATGGAAACATAATCTGAATATAATTATACTTCCGTTTACGCAGTATGATCTCGACGTGTAACGTAACACTGGGGGACGCATGAACTAAAATCCATTATAGACCCATTTTCGCTACCCAGAAGATCTGTGCTAACGAAAACATGACATCGCTTACATGTCTCGTTTTACGTGGGACTCCAATGAAATTTTCATTAAGCGATCACTATTTTTAATAACTCTGGTGTAAACATCATATTCCATTGTGGTGCCATTTTTAATGCATAATATTGGTGCTGGTATTGATATTCGTCGATATGGCACACGAGCTGCTATTTATGAGAAATCAATGTATTTGCAAGAAAGGAAAAATGTTTGCTGCCCCAAGTTTTATTTCTTACCTTAGCGAATATAACATTTAGATATTATACCTACATAATATATTATTGAACTGTTAAGTTATGGATTCACGCTATTTAAGTCAACAGCAATAATCATTAATTTTTTCGACCGCGTAAGAAAAATCAGGCAAACGCTAAAGCGTGCCTTCATTATCGTCACTTCATAATTATATACCATGTTCAAAGTGTAATAGGTATTACAACGATACACTGTAGTCATCTGAGGGATGACACGAAGTCCACATCATAGTTAGGGCTCGCTGTATTTTTCCTACGATATATAAATTCTTCTACTGTTGTCGCATATTTAGACGTCATTCATCGTATTCCTGTTATGGATTCCCATAGAAACACACAAGCATAAAATATAATTATCTCTAACTAAACTAGTCTACGAAAAGCGTTAAGCCAAGCATCACTCAGCAGCGGTTTTGCTATCATTACTGGAATTTATAGTAACTATTATTGCGTATATACAGTTAGTGTTACATATACAGATACAAACTGCATGGCGGACCTTGAACTGGCAGTTGCCAGCGACATGTTCTATTATTTATAGTTTCATTATCAGAGACTATGCTAGCTGAAGCTCTTCGCAAGAGCTGAAACTGAAAGCTTACTTGATCCAACTCATGGAACCAATATAAATCATAGAGCAAAGGCCTGCCACCTAACATAACCTAGCACCTTAGCTCTTAGAAAAAAATCGCGGGAAACCATGTTGCATCGCACAATTTCTTCCTGCGAAGCTATGTTCAGGCTCAAACATGCGAGACGCTCACAAATTCATTTATATATCATATCGAGAAGAAGCTTCGAGAAAGACCATAGACGACTTTTTCCGCGAGTTTAAGCATCGTCCCCTTAGACCTCTTCACCAAATACATGGTCAGCGGGATTTTTCAAATTTGTTTAAACTCGTAATTCGTATCAGATCGATCGTATCGCTCACCAGCCATCCGAAGAGGCCATTCAAACTTAAGAGTTATGAAATTTTCCTCTGCCGATTGAGCGAAACGATGCACGATGCTTTCAATGATTAGCGGATCTCCTTTTTCAAAACTTTATATTTCGAACGCATGAAATAAATATACGAATGCTATATGTACGGCCTCAATATTAGTTTCAGCTGGGCGTGGTACCGCCGACACGGGCGCATACACAAACTGTACATATTTTTTTGACGGACAAAGTACCACAAGCTTATAAATATCTCGAACACCTGCACTGAACAATAGTTTTGTTTGGAGGATCGCTTTCACGTAACACCACCGTCGTTATATGATTCCTCGCAGGAGTAGTATCAGCAAAAATCGGATTTCGTGCAAAATTGTTACACCGAAAGCTATAGACATGCTCCTGATATCGCTGTACCGTACTGCTACTTTATGTATTTGCGAAACATATGGCCACGATTTGAACTTATGGGTATTCGTTCGTAGCCGCGCGGCTATTGAAG